AACATTGCTGAACTGAATCTGCATGGTCTCCTGGAGTTCCTTGGGCTAGGCCTGACAAATGCAGCCTTGCTAGAAATGTCCTATTGCAAGGGCTCATGGGATTGTGAGAAGGAAATCAAATCCCCCCCCCCTGCCCCCATGTTGGCAGGAAGTCAAAACTTTGTATTTGTCTCACCTTACCATTGTTTATCTTGACAGCAATCAAGGCAACTGATTAAATTATCGTAAGAATGGGCTCACCTAAAAAGATTAGCAATGGAGCAGGAAGAATCAAGTCCTCCACCCCAGCCCAGTATTAAACAACTAAAGACCTAGCAGGAAAGGCCAACATTCCTTGAAGCCCTAATCAAATCATAAAAAGATTTCTTCCCTGAAGGGATCTACATTCCAATTAGACAATACCTGATATGGCAAACAGAGGAAATCTCCGCTCAGTAGGGTGCCTGACCTTAGAAGGCTCCCTAGTCAATTTCACTTGAGAGTGCTCTCTCTTGGCATCCCAGTTAATTACCTTTTCTAAGAATTCCTAGAGGGCGGCCATTCCTTCTCACCTTTCAAGGAACAATAGTATCTTCCCTATAAAAATAACTCCAGGGAAACCCCAAGGGCAGCTGCCCCAACAGCTGATCATCTGGTATATCAGGCTCTCCAGAAATAAAGTCGTCTCTCTCCTTCAGGCAACCACCTGCATGTTTATTCCTGGCTCAGATCCGAACCTGGTAAGCTTTCTTTCTAACAGGATACCGGGCAGTTCTTGAGGAGAGCAAGTGAGGACTTTATACTCACAGGGCCTGGGAGAACAACTTATACTCAAGGCCTTCTGGAATACCATTAGGGTGGGAGCCACACAGATCTCAGGAGGCACCTCTTTCCTGAGGGCAGGTGCCACGATAGAGAAGGCATACTCTCTGCCTCCTGTAAGATGGCACTCTTCAGTTGAAGGGACCTGGAGTGCCCCACCTTTGTTGGCCTGTTCTGGCTGGGCAGAAACCTTGGAAACTAGGTAGCCCTCAAATAACCTGACCCTATGCCACTGAGTTCAGCCTCCTGTTTCTCTACATATATAAATGTGCATATCATATAATGTTACTTAGTGCAATTTTGGTTGCTTTCTCATATTTTAAAACAGTAGAAATTTTAGGAGATCTCACATTATAAAATCTCACTCTCAACATTAATTGGTATTGCAAAATTAATATTGGTGCAATCCTGCAATTTTCAAGAAAGCTATATGACTTTTAAATACCCATTATTAATTCTTCCTTTGCTGTGGCATGTAAGAACTTAGCAGTTGCATCTGCAAATATTGGTGTTAATATTGGTTACTTTCTGTATGGCTCAATGTGTTTGGGTGAACTTAACCTGGTTGGTTAATTAATGGTTCAGTATATTGTAGATTGTGCAAAATTAGAAAATGTATTGAGCATGGCTGCATCCATGTGACATGTCTTATTAACCTAGTTACTTATTTAACCCATTTTCTGGGCCTGCATAATATAGTGAAGGATAAGCTGATGAAACTGCTAGGACACACAACATACTAACTCTGAAAGAAATCCTAATGATGTTTAAGGGTAACTAAGTTTGTATACTGTGTGCATGCAGCTAGCAACTGCCGGCAAGGTTGCTGCTGTGGGGCTGAAATGAAGCGGGATTCTTGAGGGTGATGCAGAATATACATCGAAGAAACACAAACAAAGGTCTTTGATCTCCCCATTATGAGGCTGGAGCTCCTGCTGAGGCATTTTTATGGGATTATTCTTGAAACAGGCTGGCAGAAGGGGAAAATTGGGCTCCTGTGTTTGTGGAACTTCTTCTTCAACAGGGAGTGTGAATATGACCTTCTTTCTTTGGGCTCCTGTGTGATCATAGCTGAGGGGATGCTAAAAGCCTTAATAAAGGGAATTAATGCCGCAGCAGCCGTGTTTGTGCCTCGCTGGGGAAACACAACTGTGTCGGTCCTGATCCTGGGTCTCTGAAGAAAGGCCCAGTGGCTCTCAGACTTTCTCCATCTTGCTTGTGCTGCCTCTCAGAGGCACTGAGGAAACGGGAGCAGCTCCTCAGATGGAGACATTGCTGATGGGGAAATGGGAAGAAAAAGGGGAATCGTGCCTCTGGGGAATGGCGGGCGACACAGAGCGTCCCTGCTCTCTGGGAGCCTCGGTTACCACTCAAGCGGCCCTGAAGGAGGGAAAGGCCATGGCTGACCTCCTGGTCTGCTCTGCACCTCACAAAAGGGGAAAAAGAAAAGGGAGGGAAAAAAAGTCTTTGAGAATAAAAATTATCTGTGAGGAAATGAAGAGTGTTGGACAGGATCCAGGAAGTTCTGTGTTGAAGTTCAGCTTGATCTTGGAGCTCTCGAGGCCTCTTCTGATCAGTTAGATTACTCTTAGCCCTGCCTTCTTCATAGACATGCTCTCAGGATCAAGTGAGGAGACACATAGTGATATTTCTGCTCCAAAAGAGAAGCATAATGTGCCAATTGTCATATATCTACTTTTTACCTCTGTATTTTATAAAAAAAGAATACAGCCATTCTGGAAGTTCATCAAAGTTCAAGATAATCAAGGTTATAGCTGAGACCCTGAGGAGGAATTGGACCATCATCAAAAATTGTAGTCAGCCTTTTTGTCATGGGTGTTAATGTCTGTTAATCTCCTATTCATGGAAAGTTTTTGATGCTTCCAGAAACTTGTTCAGTTAATTAAGTCTGCCTGGAGAAGCTGTTCAAACATCCTCTTCACTCACCTTCAGGTAAAACAGACTGCCTAAAACTACTCCATTCCAGATGTGCTTGGATAGGAATGTTTGTGCCAGCTAGGGATTAGGGGAGTTGTAATCCTAACGTATTGGGAGGTTGGGTAGATCTATTGCACAGTTATCTGTACAACTGCAGTCCTTCCAAACCTTAAACATGGAGAACAGTTACTGTGGCAAGGAAGAGGAAATTCTTTTAACTCTGAAATAAATGTGAGATTTCCTTTAAAAAAACCCAGGTGACAATTAGGTTTTGAATCAGCAGCACTGGTGTTACCAGACAAAAGTTTTACTGATTTTAACATTTCAACAGCCTGGGTAAAAGAGAGGTCTAAAAGAGAAAAGCAGAAATGCTAAGCATTGGCTCGGCTGAAGAAGTGGTCCTTCCCCTGCACATTAGCCAAGAAACTTTGCTGCAGGCCAATTCACCTGCAGCAGATTGAAGGAGCTCCAGCCCAAGTGGACCGGAGCACTCCAGCCAACGTAGGGAGGAAGAGGATAGAGGCCTGGAGGTTGCCTGCAGGCTGAGGGGAGGACCCACAGAAGGCGAGCTCATCCATGTCTGCCCTGCAGAGATAGTTGCTAGCCAGTTCTGATGACAAAGCAAGAGGTTAAGTGGTCCCTCCAGGAATTAGGTGGGACTTATTTCGGTTTGGACTATCACCGCTATCTCAACCCAGCAGGTGGGAGCGTCTGGCTGTCCTTGCTGAGCTCCCTCATCCTTCCCTCAATGCCCACAGCTGTTAAGAGATTTCAGATTTTGGCCTCAGTTCCAAAGCAGCCAATCACCACTCACCTGTTGGGCCTTGCTGCCAGCTGATTGGGCACAGGGGCAAGAGAGAGGTGGGAAAGAGAGCCAGTATCCTTCCCTTCCCTTCCCTTCCCTTCCCTT